TGGGATAGCGACAGGTGGCTCGATTTCTGTAAGGATCTTTCTTGGCAAGTCAAGGAAGTTTGGCACCTCAAGGAACTCAGTAGGAAGCAGGGTGGGATGTGGGTACCACCCACAGTTTGAGGCAGCAGCACTTCTGTGCCAAAATAAACACTAGACTTGGAAAGACGGGTCGTGTCTGAAAGTCCGCTGTGTTTCAGGTCCTCGCTCCGTCCACCCTCAGCCACACTCCCAACAACATGTGCTCCACTGGATGTTGCTCCACAGGATGCTGCTCCGTCGTGAAGACCAAGACCGTGTGCTGCAGCCCCTGCCAGAAAACCGTGTGCTGCAGCCCCTGCCAGAAAACCGTGTGCTGCGAGAAGAGCGTGTGCTGCAGCCCCTGCCAGCAGTCCTGCTGCTGCGACCCGTGCCAGAAGACAGTGTGCTGTGACCCGTGCCAGAAGACAGTGTGCTGTGACCCGTGCCAGAAGACTGTCTGCTGTGACCCATGCCAGTCTGTGTGCTGTGACCCGTGCCAGCAGGCAGTCTGCTGTGACCCATGCCAGAAGCCCTGCTGTGATCCATGCCAGACTGTGTGCTGTGACCCATGCCAGAAGCCCTGCTGTGACCCATGCCAGACTGTGTGTTGTGACCCATGCCAGAAGCCCTGCTGTGACCCGTGCCAGACTGTCTGCTGTGACCCATGCCAGAAGCCCTGCTGTGACCCGTGCCAGCAGGCAGTCTGCTGTGACCCATGTCAGAAGCCCTGCTGTGACCCGTGCCAGCAGGCAGTCTGTTGTGATCCATGCCAGAAGCCCTGCTGTGACCCATGCCAGCAGGCAGTCTGCTGTGACCCATGTCAGAAGCCCTGCTGTGATCCATGCCAGCAGTCCAGCTGCTGTGACCCGTGCCAGACTGTGTGCTGTGATCCATGCCAGAAGCCCTGCTGTGACCCATGCCAGCAGGCAGTCTGCTGTGACCCGTGCCAGAAGCCCTGCTGTGATCCATGCCAGCAGTCCAGCTGCTGTGACCCGTGCCAGTCTGTGTGCTGTGACCCATGCCAGCAGTCCAGCTGCTGTGACCCGTGCCAGTCTGTGTGCTGTGACCCGTGCCAGTCTGTGTGCTGTGACCCGTGCCAGAAGACTGTCTGCTGTGACCCGTGCCAGCAGCCCGTGTGCTGCACCAAGGTGTGCCAGAAGTCCATCTGCTGTGTGCCCCGGCCCTGCTGCTCCTCCTGCTGCTCCTACGTGGTGAAGAAGCCCGTGGTGGTTTGCTGCAGCCCCGTGCAGTGCTGCACCACTGTCAGGAAGTGCTGTGTCCCCTGCATCCCCATCCAGCAGTGCTGCATCAAGAAGAGCTGCTGAGCTGTCCTTGGGTGGCAAAAGCACCTCTGCCAGCTCCACGTCTGGTGTGCGATGAGAACAGGCCCCAGGAGATGAAAACCTGCTCCTTTGCCTCTGGTTCTCATCGTGATGGAGCCAACACGTAGGGATTTTCTTCTTCTTTTCAAGCTTAAGCTGCTGCTTCTTTCTGTCCTTTAGTTATTGAGTATCTTCAATTTATCACCCATAGTATAAGGCAAAGAACCATTAGATATTAGTGGGGTAATTATTCATTCTCTTCTTGGTGGTTGGGACTTGGGAGCCCTTTGCTGGCAATGTGATCACTCTTCATTCCCTCTCTTGGCTTGTAGACAATAAAACTGAGCATTAAGCAAAATGCAGCCTCTGCTCTTTTGGTTGTTCTTTCCCGGCTTTGCCCTCATTCCGGTGCCATCTGTGCCTTTGGCTGCAGATGAGCTCCAGTGGCACTGCAGGACATTTAGGGAACAAAGAGCTGCCCAGTCTGCTGGCACAAATTAGGTCGTGTCTGCAGCAGAGCAGCCTGAGCCACTGCAATGGGTTGCCCAGAGCAGCTGTGGCTGCCCCATCCCTGGGAGTGTCCAAGGCCAGGCTGGACAGGGCTTGGAGCAACCTGGGATAGTGGGAGATGTCCCTGCCCATGGCAGGGGGTGGGACTGGATGATCTTCAATGTCCCTTCCAACCCAAACCATTCCACGATTTTAGGATCCCTTCTTGCCCCTCCTGATCATCTGCCACAGCTCAGTGTTTACTGTAAAACTTAAAGGTTAAGGTAATTAAAACTCAAATGACACGGACTGATAGAGGCATAATCCCACCACCTGAAAACACACCACTCTGTAAATCATAGAATCATGGAATGTCCTGAGCTGGAAGGGTCCCACAGGGACCATCCATCCAACCCCTGGCCCTGCACAGACACCCCAACAATCCCACCCTGTCCCTCAGAGCATTGTCCAAAGCCTCCTGGAGCTCTGGCAGCCTTGGGGCTGTGCCCACTGCCCTGGGGAGCCTGGTCAGTGCCAACCACCCTCTGGGGGAAGAACTTTTCCCTAAAATCCAGTCTAACCCTGCCCTGGCACAGCTCCAGCCGCTCCCTGGGTCCTGTCCCTGTCACACAGAGCAGAGGTCGGAGCTGCCCCTCGGGAGGAAGTTGTAGAGCCCAGTGAGATGTACAGGAACTCCCTTATCTTGGAAAGGGTATTTCAGGAGGTACTGAGAGGAATTCACTACTCACTGAGCACAGGCACCATCTTCTTCCACTGCCATCTTCCGAAGATAAAAGCCCAGAAACCACGGGAATTGTTCTTACGTGAGCAGAGCGTTTCCTCCGCGCCTTCCTGGACTCCGAGCCCTGGAATGAAACCCAGGGCTCAACATACAACTTAAAGGCTTCATTCCTAGAATAGCCCACACATGAGTCGGGGATACCTTTCCTACCTGGCTGGGACTTTCTTTGCTATTAAAATGCAGGAGTCAGCCCTGAATTGCAGGTCTGGGGAAGGTGCCTCGAGCACTGGCTTGATTGCTTCCTCAACCTGCATTAGAATCATCTTCTCTACCTGTTTAACTCCTCTGAAAACACTTCCCAGGTGTTCAGGAGGCTTTTACTGAGGTAAATCATGTACAATGCACTGGCAGAAGGATATTTTATATCATAACTAGAGCAGAAGTGCCTTGGTTAAGGAAATAATGTGATTATTAATTTCATCGTGGAATCATGGAATGGTTTGGGTTGGAAGGGACCTTAATATTCATCTCATTCCACCCCCTGCCATGGGCAGGGACACCTTCCACTAGTCCAGGTTGCTCAGAGCCCCATCCAACCTGGAAAAGCTGCAGGGTCAGATCCTGCCCCGCTCACAAAGGTCCTGCAGGTCCCAAACTCACAGAACCACCACAGTTCACAAAGACATCACAGAACAGGGCATGGCATGTAAAAGGGACTTCATGGAGGTGTCATTTCTGACCCCACTGTACATTAAATGACATTTAACAGCAGGAAAAATGCCATAAATGCTGAGAGTGTTGGGGTGGTTCAGCCTGGAGAGGAGAATGTTCCAGGGAGAATCTCAGAGCCCCTTCCAGTGCCCAAAGGGCTTCAAGAGAGCTGGAGAGGGACTTTGGGCAAGGGATGGAGGGACAGGACAAAGGGGAATGGCTTCCCACTGAGAGAAATGAGGTTTAGATTGGGTATTGGGAAGAAATTTCTCCCTGTGAGGGTGGGGAGGCCCTGGCAAAGGTTTCCCAGAGAAGCTGTGGCTGACCCTGGATCCCTGGGAGTGTCCAAGGCCAGGTTGGACGGGGCTCTGAACAACCTGATGTAGCTGAAGCTGTCCCTGCCCATCCAGGAGGGTTGGATTAGATGATCTTTGTTGATCTCTTCCAACCCAAACCATTCCACATTTCTATGATTATAGAATTATTGTTTCTGTGATGATTGGGACCATCTTGGCCAATACAGCGACAATAAAGCCCGATAAAAATGTGATGAATGACTTATTCAGGGGAGATGGCTGAGGCTTTACACAGGCAGGACGTTGCTTCCTGCAGGCAAGTTTCTGGCTATTATGCAGTGACCTAAACAATGCTCCCCTGGGGACAATTCCAGAAGGGACACCCAACGCCACGCCACGGCCGCATCCTGGGAAGATACATCATGTCCCGGCCACCAGGGATCACCTGCCACCACATCAGCCCCACAGTCAGAGTCTGCTGGACGTGATTTGCCATGAATAGGCACTGCCTCAGCATCTTGGAACTCTCATCTTTTGTTGGTGGCCCCTCTCAAGGCATGAAAGCACCATCAACACCTTCTTCTCACATGGGGTTGATTTAATCCATCCATTCCATGGATGAAAATTAAAAAAAAAACCTTAATATATAACAGAAATAAAAAGCAGGGAGTGTGAGGGCCCAGCACCCTGAAGGGAGACCCAAGAGCAAGGATGAGAAAGGAGAAACCCTTCAGCCTAAACTTTGACCCCAGGGACAGGAAAACAAGGATTCCCATTGACCAACAGTTCCCACTGGTCCCCAAAAATTCCCCACCAAGGGCAGAGGGGACACACGGGTGGGGACATCTCCAAGTTCCAGGCGTGGTTGTCCCACTGCTTCAGCACCCCCCGGCCCCGGGCACATTGTTGAGTGTGTCCCGGGGTCACCCCCGGGGAAGTGGAGCTTCCTCAGAGCTGCCTCCGGTGCCATTAACGCAAATTCATTAGGAAATTTGCGTCTGTTGTTCGTGTGGAGGAGTAATTATGGGGCAGAATTGAGGAGGTGAGCAAAAGGAAAGAGGTAAAGATTAAATGCCGGAAGACACGTGGGAAGGATGTGCCGGGTGACCCCCAGGGGAGTCAGAATAGCCAAGGAATGCCTCATTTCCAGGGGGGGAGGCTTTGGAGAGTATAAAAGGCTCCCTGGCAGAGGGGTCTTCATTCACTCACCTCCACTTCTCTCCAGTCCTCACGGGTCATCAGGGTAAGTTGGAGTTTGCTGCTTGCCTTTACTTTTGGACTCGGTTTCTGTGGGTTTCTGCAGGATTTTTAGTGCTGTCTGGTTTGAGACCAGGCACTACAGAGGATCTGGGGACCAGAGATTGGTCTGTGACCAGAGATGGGTCTGGGACCAGAGATGGGTCTGGGACCAGAGATGGGTCTGGGCACCTCCTGGGTGGTTTCTCTCTGATGGAACCAGTGCTGGACCATGTGCTAAAGGCACGTGTATCCAATGCAAAAATGTGGAGATCTCAGGGACAGTCTGCCCTGGGATTCTGGACACCAGGCACCTCCCCAGCCACTTCGGGATGGACTTTGGGATAAGAATGCTTTAAGCTGGGCGATTCAGGCAGCAAAAAAACCCCAAACTCTCTTTTCCTTCCAGCTTTGCCAACACTCCAACCAACAAGATGCCCAGCGGCTGCTGCGGAGGAGGAAGCTACTCCCTGACCTGCTATAGCAGCTCCAAGGGCTGCAAGAGGCCCGTGTGCTGCTCCCCCATGCAGTGCTGCAGCCCCTGCTGCATGCCCGTGCAGTCCTGCTGCATGCCCATGTCCATGCCCTGCTGCTACACCATCACCAGCAACAACAACGGCGGCTGCTGGCGGCGGCAACAACGGCGGCTGCTGCGGCGGCAACTGAGCCCTGCCTGGCTCCTCCCTGCTGGATTTGGATATGGATGTGGATAACAACCTGAATGTTCCTCCTCCTTCACTTAGAGATGTAGATCTTACCTTCTCTTCCTGCCTTCCATCCCCAGCTGCTCGTGAAGGGCTTTGAAGCCGCTCCCAACGATCGGCGGGATCTTCCTTCGCCAGCCCTGGTCCTGCTCTTTGCTTTCCTCTTGGGGTGTGGGATGTTGAATTCTTTTCTTCACTGTTTTGCTTCAATCTGTCTGAAAAAAAAAAAAAAAAAGGCAATAAACTGTAGTTTGTGACCCTGCAAACCTCCTGGAGTTGATGTGTTTGTTCGCTGCCTTTTCCTTGGGTGTTTTTCCAGTGTTGGGATGTTCCTATTTCCAAGGTGTTAAATGGGGGGGGTGGTCCCTGCACAAAGAAATCAGGGCATCCCTGATGCTTCAGTTTAAGCACCAGCTGGGTTTCTGGCACCTCTGTGAGCAATATTTCTCCACCCAGTATAAAATAAAGAAATGGGAAGAAAATAGGAGAGGGGAAGGTGGTGTGGAGATTTCAGAGCAGCTTTCCAGTGTCTGAAGGGGCTACAGGGAAGTAGGAGAGGGACTGTTCATCAGGAACTGGAGTGACAGGACAAGGGGGATGAGTTCAGACTGACAGAGGGGAAATTTAGGTTGGATATTGGGAAGAAATTGTTCCCTGTGAGGGTGGGGAGGCCCTGGCACAAGTTGCCCACAGAAGCTGTGGCTGCCTCATCCCTGGGAGTGTCCAAGGCCAGGTTGGACAGGGCTTGGAGCAACCTGGGCTAGTGGGAAGTGTCCCTGCCCATGGCAGGGGTGGAATGGGATGAGTTTTAAGGTCTCTTCGAACCCAAACCATTCTGTGATCCTATGAAAATAATACTATGAACTCACAAAGGATGTGAGCCCCT